GTGTACTTGCCATTTGGAAGATACTGAACTGGGTACTTTGGGTGAAACCAGGAACCATAAACCATAGTCCATGTCTTTGAGTCTAGGGGGAGACAGGTCACAAGCGAAAAGCAAAACTGAAAAATGGAGTAATAATAGTTCATGTGCACCGATTGTTTCCTGTATACCATGCATGTCCTTTGGAAGCTTTATCTCATTTGATCTTTCTCCTTATCTATTCACGAGGTCATGTAACTAACATGTGGCAAAGGCTGCAGAGTCCCTGCTCTTAACCCCATGCTGCCTCCACAGTTTAAATTGTAATAGTTTTAAAATTGAATCATGAAGAATAGAAGTGTGAGAAGTACAGTAAAAGTATTAAACACTATCTATAGAAGCGAAGGTGAAGGAGAGTGTGACAGAGTCAGCTGCACATGAGATGGGACGCAAAGAAGCAAGAAAGCAGAGGCAGGGAAATACCAGTCAGTCATTAGGAGATAGATACTTGAAGGCAGTGACCCCCAACCATTTGGGCACCAGGGACTGGTTTCCTGGAAGACAGTTTTTCCACAGATGGGGATTGGGTGGGGGAGTTCTGCAGCCCTGGGGGTGGGATCGCAGCTTTCAGGGACAGTCACTGATGTCAGTGTGGTTTGATCAGCAGAGGTGAGAATTGAGAACAAGCCTTGGCTTTGGCCATTAGGAGGTCATTGGTGACATTCCAGGGAAGCTTCTGGAAGAGAATAGAAGCAGAAGCCAGATTGCATTGGATACATTTTGAGTAACCATTTGTTCCTGAAGTTGTTAAATGTAATAATAGGGTGGCCCATCGGGCAAAACAAATATGCTAAGTAGGGCCAGGTAGGAGGAGACATCAGACTGGGTGGAGTGTGTTGGCAGACTGGGGGCCGGTATTGCGTGATCTTTTGATTTTCCACAAGAAGCTGTAAGTGTAGAAATTATTGTGTGTTATCTCCTGAGTTCTAAATGGTAGTTTGATTTTTTTAAAAAATAAAACTTAGTTAAGGGCGATCCGTAACACACCGGTGGGCTAAATTTGGCCTACCAGGTGCAAGCTTCTGGAATTCTTCCAGAAGTTGAGAAGTAAAACGAGAAAGAATCCTAAAGAAGCAGCAAGGTCAAGGAATTTTTAAGATCACGTATGAGGCACGTGAGTGTGTGTGTGTGTGTGTGTGTGTGTGTGTGTGTGTGTAAGAGTTTCTTGTTTTTGTTTTCTTGGGCTGAGTAAGCATAAACTCACTAAGGAGAAGGGTTCGATGTATATGTAGAAAGGCCCAAAATATCAAAGACTGGAGATGTCTGGAAATGGAAGATGCTTGTGGGAGTGGGAGGAATGAGATTATAAGGCCAATTACAGTTTGAGGTGTCCCGAATCAGAAAACACAAAATCTGAAATGCTTCAAAATCCAAAACATTTTGAGCACTGACGTATGCCACTCAAAGGAGATGTTCACTGTTGCATTTCAGATACTGGATTTTTGGGTTAGGAATGTTAAACCGGTATAATGCAAATATTCCAAAATCCGAAACACCTCTGGTCCCAAGCATTTTGGATAAGGGATGCTCAGCGTGTATTAGAAAGATGAAAAGATGCAGACAGTTGGAGTGATTGGAAAGTGAAAAGAAAGAAATGAAGAGATTTTGCTCTCCCTCTTTATCCAGGTGGTTAGAGAAGATATTGCATGTCCAGTTAGGGGAGCAGACAGAGCCTGGGAGCTAGAGAGAAACTGGAAAAAAAAAACTGCGGGATGGTTGCTTTGGGTGGCACAAGTGTGGGCAGTTAGAACTGATGACTAGCAGCCAGGAGCCAGTTGCCTTTCATTGCATGAGTATGTATTTATGTGACACCACTAAGCACAGAAGATATAGACTAGAATAGGACTCAGATACTGACTCTCAGAGTTTATGTTCTTGCTCATAGTCTGTAGCTCTAACCTTAGCTGACAGGCAAGTTTCCCTCATTTCATTCATTTACTTAATACCATCATCACTTTACTGTACCTGTGAATTATTACCTCCATTATTTGCTCAATCGTTTTCTTTAAATTACCTTTTGTTTTATATATAAAATAGAAAAAGGATATCATTACTTATACTGGTGTATTAATATTTGTCCGAATATGCATTTTTAAGATATACAGAACTATTTGACATTTTGTCAAAGGTTCCTCTCCGTTTCACCTAAAATAATCTTGTCTATCATTAGTAGAACGTATACTGTGTCTCAGGAAAGTTGAAGCAGGTGCGTTGGTACAGTTCTTTAGGTCATTCAGAGCAAGGATTTTTTCCATGTTAGAGTTACTATATAGGGCCTTGGTTTTTTATACAAGTGGGTCAGCTCAGATGGCCTGATCTGAATAAAATGGATAAAGTCAGGCACCTCTTTGTCTGACAATTTTAAAGTGATGCTATTTGAATACTAAGAAGTTTGAAGCTTGACTGCAGAGCCTTCCAAATTAATCTAGTCTGAAAAAAAAAAAAAAAAACGAAAATGCCATCAAGTAACAGGAGATTTGTCAGCTGCCCTGCTTACACTTTTCATATAAAACATAAAGGTTGGCAGATTATAGATGAAAGGTCAGTGCAGCAAAAAAGAAAATATGTCAGACAATCTCATAACATAGGTAACAGAGGATGGAAGTTGGAAACTACTATTGGATTCTCGGAAAGAGATGAGTTTGTTGGCGGTGTGTAAATACCATCAGTGTTTCTGCAGCTTTTCATTTTGGTGGCCACTTTTTTATGCTGAGTTTCCAAAAAATTTGATTTAAAAGACACCAAAGATGCCTGTCTTCCTGAGGAAGATTTACTTTGCAGTTTTGCTTTAAAAAAAATGATCTCAAGGGCCAGAGTGGACTTCCCTTGCCGTGGTAGCTAGTCTCACCCGTGCCATCCCTGAACCCAAAGCTCCGAAATGAGGACACGTTGAGAAGCCAAGCTTTCCTGCAAGAGCAGTGGTGCATAATGCAGGGTTACAGTGAGTCCATCGTCATGAATGATTAAAGGGGAACTGGGCAGCTTCAGCATGATTTGTGCAGGTAGAATCTTTTGCTCAAAGATTCATGCAGGTGGGACCTGCCTTGGAACAGATTACTGTCCGGGAAAACGTTTTAGCTGGTTTGGGGAGGGCAGGTGAATCTAGGGGTGCAGTATCAAGACAATGGGGTCACAGAGCAATGGTTATTAAAGTTGGGGGCCTCTCACAGTTTTCCAGTGTGTGCAGTGCTGGGAATTTGTGGCCCTGTTAATACGTCTTCCATCTGCACTTTAAGTGCGGGAATTGTGCAAAATATCACCATACTCTCTAAGTAGCTTGTGACATACCTCGTACTCCTAATTACCAAACTCACACAAGCATGCATTTTAGGAAGGCCTCCTGTTTTTTGTGAGCTCTTCACAGCCTTGCAAATAACTGAGGCCAAAAGCATGTGACACGGTATTGTGGGCTAGTAGTCAAAGATATCCATTGACGTTTAACCTCAACGTTTCTGGTTTCTTCCCTCTGCAGTATTATTTTCTATTAGACTGCTTTTTCCTCTCTCTTAAGCCTCCCCATTAATGCATATGCTGTATATGAAATTTTATTACTGTTAGAAACCTAAAAATTAATAGCTAAAGAAAATTCGGTAACATTACAAAACATAATCTATCAGTCTTAAAATCCACTTCAATATGAGCAGATATGTTTGCAGTGTGCTGCTGAGATTGTGTGGTCCTCATAGTGGAATCTTTGCAGTTTGCATTGCTGAAATCCAAGTGGACAGATGACAGAACTTGCTCCCTCCTCTCCCCTCCCCCCCGAAAAAATTCTCTTCCCCACTAAGCTTCCTAAATTAAATCATTGAGACTCTAGCTTGCTTTTAAGGACCAATTCTTACAACAAGTATATCCAATTTCCTGCCAGTGGTAACTTTAATTCTTCCTGGAATAGCAGGAAACATTAATTTTGCATTGGACCCAGGAGTCTCGGGAAGCTGGAATTATAGGTGCCATTGCCCCACCTTTTTTTCCTTTAAAATAACATAAAATAAAATAAAATGAGCAGCAGCACAACAGCGAGGCTTGAGAAATGGATAGTGAGAGAGTGGAGAAAAGGGCATTAATTTCAGGATGAGGACAGCTGCCCAGCACTATCTCCCTTTGGATTTTGGTTCTTATAGCATCACGGTGAGTTATTAATATGTATGATCTGTACTTTATTCAAACATTATAAATCTATGCAGAAGTCTGGTGTTTGGGTTTTCCTTTATAGCTTTCATTCTTCTTCCCAGAATTATCTCATTTTGATCGGGAAACTTTTGCATAAAAAGCGCACACCGAGAACTCACATTTCCATACCATAAATATTAAAAGGGGGTAAGCTTTACAGTTTCTTCTCCCATCCCAATGGGAAGAAAGTTAGCCTTCTAATCAGGGGGCCCTTAATAATGTTCTTTTTATTCACAAGCCAAAAAGTAAACTTAAAATTAGACTTGCAATATGAAATTGTACAATGTGGTGGGTTTTTTTTCATTTATATAAATCGTGGAGTGCTGAGTTGTGCCATGTCTTTTATATGAAGGATATACTTAAACAATCTACCAGTTATCTGAGTTGTTAAGAATAGTTGGTTTATTTTTTGAGGACCAAACCAAGTCCAGACCTTTTCTTAAGGATCGTGATCAAAGTGATTTTTTACTGGATGATTATAAAATGTGGATTCACGACCGTGTGGAAGCATCACTGAATTTGTAACACACAGAAGAGGGAAATGGAGCTAGAAAATGGAATGTCTTCTTAGTAGCGCTTTAGCTTCTTAGCAGATATTGTATCTACTGTTTATTGTCATTTTTGTTAACATAAAGGAGTAGTCGTAGATTTTGGTTCACATGGAAATGTAAAGGAATGTGTGAGCTACTTCATTTGGGTGAGCTGTCTGCTAATCACGCAGTCTCAGCTGTTGTACTTTGTGATGGGAAATGAACGTGCTAATTGGTGCTTTTTTTTTTTTCTTATTTCAGGAAACCTGCCATATGAATATAAAATAGTGATTGCTGGGAATCATGAACTGACATTTGATAAGGAATTCATGGCAGACCTTGTTAAACAGGACTACTACCGTTTCCCCTCTGTGTCCAAATTGAAACCAGAGGACTTTGACAATGTTCAGTCTCTCCTGACAAACAGTATTTACTTACAAGATTCGGAGGTAACAGTGAAGGGATTCAGGATATACGGTGCACCTTGGTAAGTGATAATTCGAACAGTTTTCTTGACCATTTTTTAGCTAGGTACCAAGAAAACGTGGCTTTGACTTAGAGGTTTTCAATGAGAATGATTAGGATGGAAGGAAACCTTACTGCTGTCATTTCACCAAAACACATACTCTGGTCTGCTGCAAAACGCAGCACTTGTTTTCATTGTAATATAGATTCCTTTAGGCAGATCAAAGGACACGGGGCTTTGCAGATACGTCCAGTCATCCCTCGGTAACAGTGAGGTATTGGTTGCAGGACCTCCTTCAGATACCAGAATCCAAGGAGGCTCAAGTCCCGGATGTGAAATGGAGTATTATTTGCATGTAACTTACACACATCGTCCCAAATGCTTTAAATCATCTCTAGAGTACTTGTAATACCTAACACAATGTGAACACTACATAAAGAGTTGTTACACTGTATTATATTGTTTAGGGAATAATGACAAGAAAAAAAATCTGTACATGTTCAGTACAGATGGAATTTTTTTCCTAATATTTTCTATCTGTGGTTGGTTGAGTCCATGGATGGGAACCCACGAATACGGAGGGCCATCTGTGTATGCTTATGTGACTGGGGCTACATGTGTGTCTGTGTGACACAGGAGGGTATGAGAGAAGGTCACCAGGTTACCCTTCACACAGATTCGGCTACTCTGAACATTCCATCAGCCTTAGGTAACTCATTTCCCTCTCATTTTGTCCTGGAAGCAGTCATAAAATATCTTGCTTACATGAGGGTTTCTCAAATCTCTCTACACATCAGGATGAATAGCTCTGTAGAAATACAGGCTGTGGAGCCCTGTCCCCAGAGAGCCGACTCTCCTTCCCGAGATGAAGCCCAGCAATCTGTATTTTTTCCAAGCTTCCACAGATAGGGTGATGCACAGACAGTTTGGAAGTTACTGGTTGAGAGCTCTTGCTACTAGAATTCTCAGAACTAAGCTCTAGAAAACTTGAAGTGGACACATATCCTTTTGGGACCAGACAGGAAGCATTTTGATCTCGACTCTATCCCATTGTCAGTTGTCAGGTTTTAAAGAAGTTCCTTCACAGCATCTGAGCCTCTGTTTTTGCAGCTTTAAAATGGTGAAATAATACCTACTTTAGAGGGTTATTATGAGGCTTAAATAGGTGAGGTTTGCAATGGATTTAGAGCATCTGGTGGTTTGCTTAGGATAATAATTATCATTTTTCTGGCCTTGGCTCTGCCACTGAGTATTTGAAATTTGGCAAGTCACTTTTTGAGTGACTACTTTTTTCTTCTTTAAAATGAGAGTGTAAGACCAGATCATCAAAATCAGAGGGTTCTAGGATTTTTTTTTTATGAGGGCTCTGTGTGGGAGAAGAACTAACCTTTACTCACCCAACGTAGAAAAGTACTCCAGTTCTTCCCTAGGAGTTGCAGATAAAACTGGGGAAAGACAAACAGAGTAAGTTCAAATTGACCACTTGACTCAACCGTTTGGTTCGGCCTCTGTGAAATAAAAAATTGAGATATTTTCTGTAATTTTTTTCCTGGCTTTACTAGTTGGTATCCAGAAGTACTGATGAGGGGGTACAGGAAGTACATTTCTGTTTAAAATCAATCTGACAATGATTGTGAACTCTTAATTAAGTACTTAACTATATGCCAGGCACTGTTCTAAACCCTTTACATCTATTATCTCATTTAATCCTCAGAATACCTTTAGGTACTATAATGATTCTCATGTGGCAGGTCAGAAAACGCAGACACAGAAAGATTAAGTAGTTGCTCTAGAATCACCACGCACAATAAGAGGTAGTGTTCTGATCTGAAATCAGCACGTGTGACTCCAGGGTATACAGTGCGATTGGGGGGTGTGGGGGTGGTGGTGATGATGTGGTATTTGGTGGTTATAATCTGCAGATCCATTTTATACCCAGCTTTATTAGTGTGCATCAATTTACCTTTTTATGTGTGAGACGGTGGTAAAGGGCAAGAGAATAAACAGCAGAAATTAGTCCTGCCAAACTATAATCTAAAAACTGATATTGGGGTAATGTAGGATGTTTATATTAGCATTTCAGGGTAAAGGGAGAGGGAGGGAGAGAGCATTTCCAGTTTCATAGTCCGGTTCTTAAGCACAGTGCAATAGTTGAGAAATGACCTCTGGTTGGCTGAGAAGCTCGATATGCAAGTTAAGATGAATTTTTTTTTTCAATAACTTAAGATTACTCTTGAAAAATCTTCAGAAGGCACGGACATTTAAGACTCTTCCTGAGCAAGCCAGACTTTTGAGATCCCTGGATTGATAGTTGCTGACATGATGACAGCAACAGACTTCCTCCTTTATCGGAGCTGATTCGAATCTGTTCAGGGTAGGGTTTGGCTAAACCAGATTACAGCTGTGATGAATGAGGGGAATGATTTTGGTCCCGAGGCAGATCTTGCAGCATCTCAAGAAATCAAACAGAGTAATTCAAGTACGTGATGTGATGGGTCATGATCTCGTTTTGGTGGTGGTGCAAATATCTGAACTGGGTTAAAATGTAAAGTTTTTTAATTTTAATACTGGCCAAGGTGGTAAAGTGGACCAAATAGGCAGCATCATTTAGTTTTCTGATATGTTCTCCTGAAGTTGTGGTTAAGCATAGTGTTTGTTGGGATTTCTACAGACCTTGAACTATTTCCTGCTGAACACCTTTTTACAGAGATCTTTAAATGGGTTTTGCCCTATCTATTGGAATTGTTGATGCTTTGTGTTTTGACCAAGAATACAGAGGTTGACAAAAAGAATATTTCAATTTCATCATATATTTTTGGAGGCATCAGTAGTTTGGATCTCACTATGAAGCTGTTTTGTTAAACTTAATGTTCCCGGAACTACTGATAATCTGAACATTGATTTAGGAATGTCTGCATTAGCATTTCTGTGCAGGCAGGACAGTACTGGCTATCTCTACCACTTATGCAGCCCTGGGACCTTGGGCACATTTCTTAACATCTATAAACCTCTGTTTCCTCATCTCTGAAATGGGAGATAACATCACATGCATGGTTGTTGCCTGACATGATTGTTATAAAGATAGAGTTAATGCATCCACAGCACTATAGAAGGTTTGCTAGCATAGAGTAAGCATTTGATGAGTGTTAGCTGTTACTACTAGTAGTGGAGTGTTGGTGTTTAATCTACTTTATACCTTCATAAGGAGACTATGTTACTAGAAGTCTGATGGGGTGGGTTCTAACCCTAGTTCAGCTTCTGCAGATTGGATGGCACTAGGCAAGTCACTGAACTTCTCTGTTTAGCTGTAAAACAGGGGGGACAAGGCCTGTCCTAGTATCTGTCATATACCACTCACTTAAATAGTCGCCAAAGTTAGAACCTGCGAAGAGAATATATAACTGTGGAGCATGCTTGATTATTTCAATGTCCTGAATAATTTTTAACCTCTTCTACTATTAAGAATTCGACTAGAAGCAAAGTTTGGGGGAACTCATACCGTAGGTACCACCCTTCTCCCTTCAGAAGTTAGGTTTCTCCATTCTCAAGACTTACCCATAGGTGAATGCCTGCTTAATAACCCAACAGATCTTTCAACCCCAAAATAATGTAAACCGATTAAGTTCTAGTTCCATGCTTTTCCAATGACTTTTCTGGAAGAAATGTTAAGTTCTGCATTACTGATATACTGCTAGTGGTTTTAATGTAAAAACAGAAATCAAAATAAGAACGCTGATGCTAAGGATTTCCACCCTGACATAGGTTTCTCAAAAGTAATTGGCATCATACCAAGAAAACAGCTATAACTCATGTATTTAAAAAAATATGGATTGTGACTTTAGCTACCGAAAGAGAATATTAATTTGTATTCATTATGTGTTTATAACTTGTAGCACAGCTGAAAGCTTCCTCAAGACCAGGGAGAATTAAAGGAGTGTTTTCTAATTTACAGTTTAACAGGAATTTGTATGTAAAAAATAACTTACAACACACCAGAGCATTCATATGTGTTTGCAACTGGAATGTGCTGTAGTCCTTATTAGATCCCCGAGGAAGAGGCTTTGAATGTGGTTTGATGGGTCTGGGAAAATTCAATGGTCTAACTGAAAAAGTTGTAAGTGGGATTCCACGTCCAGGAAAGAGAGAGGCTCCCTTGGAAAGAGGGCGAGAGTTGATGAATTCTCTGGGGCCCCTTTGCCTCAGGAGGCCGTAAGGTAAGGCAGTTTTTTTGGCTTCTGTATAAAATCCTTTGCCATCTCATTATTCTAAGAATCTTGAAGAAAGGAATCAGGCATCTTCTTTTTTAGTAGTTCAGTCACAGATGTGCTTCACTTTTCCTATTGTTTGTTTTTTTTTTTTTCCCTCTTCCTTTTTTGGGAGCAGAAGAAGAGGGTCTGGTGTTGTCAGGCAGTTAGATCAGCCTCGCACTTGGCTCTTCCAACAGGAAATCCTATGGATTTCTCGTGTTGATTCTCTGCCACCAAGATGGTTCCCAATTTCCTCTTTGTGACTCACTCTTCTGTAATGTCTTTTCCAAATGCTGAGTATGGTTAGAAAGAGGAGACAAAATTCTAATCTGTCACATAGTAGCCACTGTGGTAACTAATTGCTTGTCTGGCCAGGGTGGAGCGGAGGTGGAATTTTGAAATGATCTTGGTATTTTTGGTTACTGAATCTGTAGCCAGCATTTTAATGCAAGCGGGTTTCAGTAAACTCACTCATGGGACTTGGCAGTTAAAAATCAACTAGCCTCTTCTTTTTCTGATTTCAGTTGCTCTTTTGATACTAAGATGCTGTGCAGGGAAAAACATAAAAAGAAAATCCACGTACTAATTGATTAGCAGCCACACTGCAAAAAAGTAAAAGGTCTATATTGCGCCAACTGGAGCAGAGCAGTTGCATTGTTCGGCGAAAGCCGGCACCTTGTTCTCCTCTTGAACGGAAATACAGAGCTGGTCTCCTGTGGCTTTTAATGAATATGAGTGGGGCTTTCCGATGTCCAGGAATTTGATCTCTAGACT